TTTTTTTTTTCGTGTTTTTCCTTGACATATTTTGAATGTGCATTTGATCTATGTGTTTAAGTGTAATTGACATATGTCAAATAATTAAGTTAAAGTTTCCATTATGATTGAATCTTAAGGGCTTGATTGTTTATTAAACAATTTGTTCAAATTGAATTATTTTGGTTAACCATAATTTATTTTGAAAAAGGTGCTATGGTTAGTTGTAGTGGAATTTTAAGAATGTATTAAAATAATATTTAAAATAAAATGATTTTTAAGAATGTATTAAAATAATATTTAAAATAAAATGATTAAAATTGATTTGATGTAAAAGTAAGAGATAAATTATTGGAAATGATACGTAGTTAAAATTATGTGAGTGGATGAATAGTGAATTAAAGTTGATGTGATGTGTAAGAATGATTGGTTTGTATTATTTAATTATATGAATAATATTAAAGATAGTGGGGTTGGGTTAAAGTTGAGTTAATTTTGAGTTGAAATAAAAGTGAGTAAATTAATTTGTATACAAGCAAGGCTTAAGCTTCTTCCCCTCCACACTGCATGATGTGTTGTGTATTGGTGCATTCTTTCTAAATTCCATTTAACAAAATCTCGTTTAAGGATGCACTTTGCCTCTTTTAAAGTTCTGTTTCTCCCTCAAGCTTGGGAATTGGTGCTTATAAATTATATTATCTTTATGGAAGTACCTAAATTGCTGATTTGATTTTTAAAAGCTTATGAACAATGTCTTTTTGTAATGTATAATATAATATTTCCTCAGCAAAATTGTTTTTCTTGTCTTTTTAACTTTACATGTGTGATTGTTATCGCTCTGTTTTGTTCTCATCCTCTACAGTCTCCATCTCCCCCCCCCTCTATCTCTTTCTTTTTATCTCCCTCTCCATATATATGTGTGTGTGTGTGTGTTTGTGTATGCATGCATACATATTTGTTTGATAGGCTCACTGCTCATGTGATGATGGGCTTAGGTTGATCTTAAAAAAGCCAGCAAAAACAGGAGCCATATAGCTGAACTTGGAACATAATTTGGTTCATGATTGACTATTATTCTTGAAGAAGGTTTTTTCTTTTTTTTTTTTCAAAAATAATTGACTGTTGTTTCCAGTACCTCACACCATAATAGATGCTGGATTCATGGAAGAGCTAGCCGGCAGTCCTCCAAACCAACCCTTGGTTGGAGGTGTTCTTCAGCGAAGAAACTTTTAGGAGAGTAATGATGGGTTTTTCATGAGATTTGCAAATAAATTTTCTTTGAATCATTGGCTGTTATTACAATTGCAACCTCAGCACTAGGTACTTCGGTGCTTCGTGGTACATGCATCAGCACTTGAGAATATCATTTCTGAGCTCCTTCTCAAGGTGCTTTGCTGAGCCGTGGGGTATAATTTGTAGTGTATACTTTTTGGGCATAGTGAGGCCTAATCGTAGGTTTTTAGACACACAGGCGAGTCATTTCTTTCTTTCCTCTTAAGGTTCAGCTTTTCTGCAGACTACTTAACAATCTTGCCTGTTTAACCTCTTAAGGCTGAGCCTTTCCGCCGCCTACTTAACAATCTTGCATGACCTCATGCAATACCCGCACCCCGTTCAATTCTTTCAGAGCTTCATGTTTTGTCTTTTAATTTTCAATAACCTCGTCTTATCTATTTTTAACTTTATTAACTTCTCGGTTTAGCCTCCATGAACCTTCAAGTCCTGCCTGCTTTCATATTAGGATTTTATTACAATGGCCCCGTATCTATGTTGATCTCCTACACATATCAGCTCAGCGAGAAGCTCCTTGGCCCAAGTTTATGGACTTCAAGACACGTTGGCCCGACTTCAAGACACGTTGGCCCGACTTCAAGTCCATATAATATTTAGTGCTAAAATCTATATAACTAGACTATTGTTTCATACTCAGGATTATCTTTATTGAATAGGATTGTGGTCTTTAAGCTTGAGCTAGAAGTTTCCTCTGGAATTATCTGTCTTAGGTTGGGCGGGATTTGTTCCGAGTTGTTCTCAATTATTTTCTTAATTACTAGTATCGATATGTCCATTGTTCCATTTGCTTTCTCCCTTCACACTTCACTCTATCACGTAGAACATTATATTAGCTGCCAATTCTGTGTAGGCATAGTGAGTTGGCCGCAGAGGCTCCTTTAATAAGAGGTCTCAATATAGATGGGCCCAACGGTTGGTGCGCTGACCCATTTACAAAATCAGCCCATAAATTAATTGGGCATGTTCGTTTCAAACTAACATGTAGGCATAGTAAGTTAGCTGCAGATTGGGCCCCAGACTTACCAAGTGCATATAGGAATGTTTGTAGCTTTTTTGAGACGGTATCCTAATTTATTATTTTTTTGACCATAGATCGAGTCTATGTATGCAATATAATAAGAGATAAGAAATCTCAAAATAATATGAAATTTAAATCTATTTAAGCGATACCTGGTCAATGCTCGGGCCAAAGGTATCTCCTCTACTGCCCTTTTTCTTACCTAGAGCGTCATGCAATCACTAATGATGAAGTTATCTTGTCCAGATTATTGAGTATTTGACTAGTGATTTTGTTGCTCGATGTTTTGTGTGATCCATTATTTTTTGAATTGAAGTTTAGAAGAAAGCATGCATTCCTATAAGTTATAACATATTCTTGACTTGCCACTACATGACAAGGCCATGGCTTCTTTTCACCTTGGTTGTCGGGCTCTGGAACTTGATGTGTTTCTTTTATGCCATCTGTGCATTATAATAATGAATGTAACACAAAGAAAGCCAATATATTTAAGGTGAATGTCAAACTTTGTTGCAACTGAACCTCTGTTGTATTTTACTCTTAACAGCATGTATAATCCTTCGTTGTGCAAGGGAACTCGAAGTGATTCCGTGTTATTATTGTTTTCACATCATACTTATCTTGTTTTGCAGATGCTGCTGTCTCTAAATGACATTAATGACCTTAATTCACGGCTTCTATCAAAAATTGAGTATGTTTCATGTCTGGGTGTATTATGGCTCCACTTTTGGGTCTCAATTTATATCTGTGTATACATTTCGGACACATTTCTTATTATCATTTACCTTTTGAGCGTAAGGTTTCATCATCTTGGTTTGTTTTGCAGTTTTTTTTTATCAAGCCGTACAAAGATGATATTGGATGTTAATCTTTTCAATACTGTCATAAACATGCCATGGAAAGATGTCAAAGCACATAATATGGTATGTTTATTTCATCCTTTTATTTTGAATAATGAAAACTACATCATCCCAATGTGTTTATGATCCGTGTTGGATATTTTCCTCATTTGTTAATAGAAACTCACCTTAACCAATTATCTTTGTTACATGAGTTGACTAGAACCTATCGAAAGGTTAACTTAAAGGAAGAGGGTACCTAACCAACATTTTTACACAATAACATCCCAGTAACTTAACAATGTGTAAACATAAATTCTTGTTTTCTTCTCAAAACATTGAAGATTTTGTACATAAATAGTTTATTATGATCCAACTATAGGTTTGTTCATGTATACTTTCTTTCTAAATTTCTCTTTATAAGTTCTCAACCAAATCTCTAAATGAAATACCACCCTTGATTCACTGGTGTTTAATACTTACCCTGTTTATCAGCCCGAAATGGTATACATATTCCCTTGTTTAAAGCTAACTTTTGCTCTTTGCAACTTGTAATAATGTAGTAGCCTTTTAGTAATTTTAGCTATGAAGCATATGCTAGGGAGTTTCTGAGAGTCCATTTAGTGTAGCTTTAAGTCAGCGGAGACAATTGCTTTATTCAGTTTTTTTTTTGCTTATGTCATCTTAGTTTTTTCTTTACTAGTTTGTGTGGTTAACATATGTAGGCAGGGTTATTACTCATGTTCTTAGTGAATTTGATTTGACAGGTTATAGAAGTTGCAGCTATTTCCATCACATCCAAATTGGAAATAGATTCTTCTACTTCTGACCTGGGAGATAAGTCTCATCTTTTGAGCAGATATATAGGTCTCGGTCTTAGTTCTGTTGAAGATATGCTAGGGGGGTTTCAGCTTCAGGATCTATATGATCACTTTGACTTCCAGATAAATGATGCGCAGGTAGGTAGTTATGTTCGTTCCAGATTGGTGTTTGTAGTCTTGGATTATGCTCTAAATGTGATCTCTTGCAGATACGACTGATGATGCCTTCTTGTGCAACTACCCCTTTTGTTGAGAAATTTAATGCCTCTTTGAGCTTGGTATCCTGTATTTTACCTGATGAACCAATCCTCAAAGAGTTGGAGGTATTGTTATATGCAGCCATTTTTTACCTTTTGTTGAACAAACACTGAATTGGCATGAAAATATATTTAGGCTTTCTCTCAGAGAGATGTATACTGACAAGTGACAATACGCTGTTCTCGGGTCATACACAAGTTAGTTGTGGAGTTCTATCCTGAAATGGTTTGTGGTTCACTTGAATGGTAAAGTAGAGGGGTAGAAGCTGGGAAACCTATTAACCATAACCTCATGTGAAAAGAAATAGGCTAAATAACAGAACCAGGGTCCAGAACAGCAATAAGTTTTGCGTGTTTATGTTGCAGTCCTTTTTCA